CTGTGGTCGTCAAATGGTTTGGTGGTTTCCTCATTCATTTGACTTTCCAGTGGCCAAATTTCATGATAGTCTAACTACTGACAGAGAATTGGGGTCTTTTAAGTATTAAGACTCTGGCTCTCTAACGTAACTTGATTAGACATCCGCTTCTGCCAAGCTGCTTCCTGCAGGCTTCCCAGGCAAAGCCGTGATGAGCGTGGGCCCGGGGAGTTAGCACATGTCTGATCAGGGCTGTCCTGGCAAGGAGTCTGCAAGTGTGGGAGGTGGTCCTGGGAGCGTGCCCACAGGGGCTTGCATAGGCCTATCAGGAGGAAGGCAGATAATTAAAAGGCCAGTAAAGTCAACTCGTAAGAATAATAAATCAAAAAAGTTCATCAGGCTGGAGGAGCTCCATGGGACATGAGCCAAAGGATCAAAGTGAGGGTCAGAAGCAGGATGATCAGAAGCCAGACCAACTCAGGCACTCGCCCTGGGGATGCAGAGACAGGGCCCTCTCTGGCAGTGTCTTCTGCGCGGGTTGGGGAGCCAGCCGGACAGAACTCTTGTCGTGACAGAACCAGAGCCTGGTGGATCCTCATACTCTGATGGGAAGGGAAGAGTATTGAGAGACAATTTTGCAAGCATCAGTTTTGGAGCACTGTTTTGCTAGTTGGTCACATGAGACATTTGTGCTCATGGCCTCTCATGTCTGCGTGAATGGTGACATTCACCGATACCACCTGGATAAGCATGCAGAGCACGAGGCCCACGCCTCTCCTGGAACCTGCCAGTCCTCCCTCAACCTTTGCAAATCTGTCCCTGTCCAGTGTGCTGAGCAGCATCAGCACTGCTCTGCCCCAGGTAATATCTCAGGAGAGCAAACAACGCATGCCAGTGTGTCCTTCCTAGGCATTGGGGGGCACCTCAGTTTCCACCTTCTGCAGGAAGGAAACACCTGCGGGGAGTTCCTTTCCATACATCCTAAGATCAGGCTCTAGAATCTGGGGAATTGTTGCAATGGGAATGTGCTGTCCTATAAAATGAAGTACACCAATCTAGCTGAAAGAAAGTGAGTCAAGTTCATGCCACAGTTTGCTGTGGTCACACAGGCAAGCCTTAGCTGTTTCCTGAAGATAGGAGCTGGAATTCTTGTGGGTAAAGCTGACCGAGCTCACCCACTTCACCCTTGGCCTACTTTGTTTATCTCGAGGCCGCTGAAGCATTCAGTCTAGACCGTACAGTATTTCAGTATCTCCCTTTCTTTCCCGAGCATCTGTTTTTCTCAGGTCCCACGTGACTCACCCTGCGTGGCCTTATGCTGGGACCCAGGAACTCCCGGGAAATATCCTACCCCAGCTTGGGTCACCAAAGACATCTGTCGGGCCTGCCCTCTAAGGTGACCTGTCAAAGAGTACAAATTGGGATTTTCTTTCTGGACAGTGAATTTGGGGCCTTTGAATATGACTTTATACTGGACTTCAGAACACAATGAAAGAACAAACCAGAGAATTCCTGTCCTGGGGCTCTCCAGGCCTGCATCCCGGGACCTTCTTGAGGAGGACTGAAACTCCCCGGGGGGTGGGCCTTGACTACCACACAAACGGTTGGTTTTTACACTCTTCATGTCTGTTGTGTCATGGTGTTCATTGTTTTTGTTTTTCTTTACTTTTACAATCAACAGTTTACTGAGTAACTCCCACACAGCTGTGCTACACTAACTGCTTCAGTGAAGGCTTCTAACCTCAAGAAGCTTATCACCAAGGGGAAATGATAAAAATAATTCTTATAAAGGAATATTTAATAATACATGTCATGAAGGCTTGAACTGTGGATGGCAGATTTAAACATCCTCTCAGTGTATATCCTTTTCTAGTGCATTAAATGTTATATAAGGTCTAGAACAAATGCATTCTTAATGTGAGACATGTATTCCTAAAATGAGTCTCCCACTGAGATATGGCTTAGAGATTGGGAGGCTTTGGGAGAATGTTCCAGTGTAGAGTTCTGACTGGATACGTAACACTGCCGTCATTCATGACTGCCAAGGGCACCATGAAATGAGTATAAGCAAAGTTATTAACCACATCAACACATTTGTTTTGAGTCCTACTAGTTGTAGGCACGGTGGTCGGTATTAAAGATATGAGAATGAATGATCCTTGCTCTCAAGTGCTTACAGATTAATGGAGGAGATAGACAGCAACTCAGAGAAGTGCATGTTTTCATAGAGATGCACGTGGTGAAATGGAAACCCTAGGCAGGGGCTGTCCTGGAATTTGTATGGATGGTGTGTGGGGGTGGCCACATCACACCCTAAGAGATTTCCTACTTGGTAGGAATGACTCCTAACTTGGGAAGTGAAGGATGATTTGGAATTAGTTGAGGGGTATTAAGGTATAGGGCTAAACTGCTCTCCAGTGCCTCAAGCAATTTACAAATTTATTTTTTTGATGTGAAAACCCCAGCATAGGAAGGCAGTACAGCAGTGCAAGTAGCAGTACCCCATTAGGTCACCCAGGGTCCCAGGGTCCTATGTGAAGGGCGATGAAAAGCTCGAGATTCTATTCTACTTGTAAGATACCAATTTAACATGCATAGTTTCATGGGTGGAAGCAGATACAAGGCTCCTGAGCCACAGACCAAAGACTGTATTCCTCACGGCAATAGCAGCAGCTAGAGTCTCGGCATTTGCTCTGATTACCCGAGCCCCATACCTTGCAGGGCACGCCGAGAGGGGCTGGGGACACCTGCCCCCGCACAGGGTTACTTTACAAGAGAGGAGCACCATACTTAGGAAACCAAATCTTTTATAAACAATAGGAAGCCCACCTGACTTTTGCCCCAGAAAAAGACATGGTCTTCTACCTCTGTGCTCCAGTGCAGGCACTGGCAAGTATGACCCACAGGCAAAATCTGACCCACCTTTTGTTTTTGTGAATAAAGCGTTATCAGCACACAGCTGCATTCATTTCTGTAATGCCTATGGCTGCTCTAGTGTTACAGTGGCAGAGATGAGTTGTTAACAGAGGTTGTATGGTTTCTTTACAGAAAAGGTTCCTCGGCTTCTGCTGTAGGGTACGGCCTTCCCCCGCCTGACTGAAGATGACTGGTGAGCACCACCATCTGACCTGGAGGAGGAGGGGAGAACAAGAAGAGCCAAACCATTTGTTTAAAAGAAGTGACCCAGAGGTTGACTTCCGTTCATTTCTCACTGGCCAGAACTTACTTACAGGTTATGTCAGGAGTCCCCAGACTTCTCCCAGTTTCAGTGATTCACTAGAAGTAGTCACAGGGCCCAACAGGCAGTCTTGTTCATGACCAAGGTTTATTACAGGTAAAACAAGTGTTCAGTATAAAGTATGTATTTTTACACAATTTGGGCATGATCCATTCTTATCAGAGACTGTGGGAACCCTCCTGAGATCCGAGTTCCCAGATGTTAACCAAGGGCCAGCACTGCAGGCAGGCCTTTCTGAGGACAGCAGTCTCAGGCCTGCTATGCTATCTTTTACTGCACAAATACCTACCTTTGGCTGCAATGGAAGCTGGGGTATGTAGTCCAGCTAAGTGACTGTGTGCCCAGCTAATACTTGGGAAGTATGATCATTAAACAAAGATGAAGAATGGAGATCATGAATAATTACATGAAAAACTACAATCATAATACCATGATCACACCTAAACATTAACAATAATTCAATAATACGCATATCCAGATAGATTCAAATTTAGTCTCTGCCACACAAGAGAAGAGGGACCAGGGTGAGGGTTCTCAACCCTTGGAATTATTGACATTTTGGGCTGGATAATTGTTGTGAGAGACTGTCCTGTCTATTTTGGTAGCACCCGTCTTTGTCTGGACCATTAAAAATGTCTGCAGACATTGCCAACTCTGTTTTGGGGGACACACACATCCCACTTGAGATCCAAGCTAGTGTGTGAAGGCTATAGAGACCAGGCCTTCTTCTGAAAAGCTACAAGTGTTTTGTTACAGTTTGAGAATAAGTGAAAGATGAACAGTAGTAAGAAATAGGCTGATGGTATAGGCTGGGGCCAGATTATGAAGCAGTTTGTGTGACATAATAAGAAGTCTGGATTTTTAAAAAAATTTGAAGGTCTGAGGAGCTACTGAAAGATACTTAAGCCAAAAACCATATTTGCATTTTCAGAAAACCAGTTTGGCTTATCTATGGAGAATTAATTGAAAGGCAAATAGTCTCAAGTCAGAGAGACTAATTAGAAGGAAATTTCACTCATTCAGGAAAGAAATTTTGAGGAAAAAATTGACAGTTAAGAAAGATATTGACAGTTAAGAAGAATAAAAAGGGAAGGATTTGAGATACCTCATATAAATAGAACAAAGCACACTTGGTGATTGGTTGTAGATAGGAATGTCACCTAGAGGTTTGCTCTGGACATCTGGGTAATTAAGTTACCGTTCACTGAGATAACCAAGTCAGGAGAAGAGTGATCGGATCCGTTTTTGACTTGCTGAGTTTGCAGTGACCATGGGATTTCCACAGGAGACACATGATGTGCGATTGACAAACTGACATAACCGTCACTTAGTGTACTGTGAGTAGGGGTAGATGAACATCATCGAGATTCTATTCTACTTGTAAGATACCAATTTAACATGCATAGTTTCATGGGTGGAAGCAGATACAAGGCTCCTGAGCCACAGACCAAAGACTGTATTCCTCACGGCAATAGCAGCAGCTAGAGTCTCGGCATTTGCTCTGATTACCCGAGCCCCATACCTTGCAGGGCACGCCTAGAGGGGCTGGGGACACCTGCCCCCGCACAGGGTTACTTTACAAGAGAGGAGCACCATACTTAGGAAACCAAATCTTTTATAAACAATAGGAAGCCCACCTGACTTTTGCCCCAGAAAAAGACATGGTCTTCTACCTCTGTGCTCCAGTGCAGGCACTGGCAAGTATGACCCACAGGCAAAATCTGACCCACCTTTTGTTTTTGTGAATAAAGCGTTATCAGCACACAGCTGCATTCATTTCTGTAATGCCTATGGCTGCTCTAGTGTTACAGTGGCAGAGATGAGTTGTTAACAGAGGTTGTATGGTTTCTTTACAGAAAAGGTTCCTCGGCTTCTGCTGTAGGGTACGGCCTTCCCCCGCCTGACTGAAGATGACTGGTGAGCACCACCATCTGACCTGGAGGAGGAGGGGAGAACAAGAAGAGCCAAACCATTTGTTTAAAAGAAGTGACCCAGAGGTTGACTTCCGTTCATTTCTCAATGGCCAGAACTTACTTACAGGTTTTGTCAGGAGTCCCCAGACTTCTCCCAGTTTCAGTGATTCACTAGAAGTAGTCACAGGGCCCAACAGGCAGTCTTGTTCATGACCAAGGTTTATTACAGGTAAAACAAGTGTTCAGTATAAAGTATGTATTTTTACACAATTTGGGCATGATCCATTCTTATCAGAGACTGTGGGAACCCTCCTGAGATCCGAGTTCCCAGATGTTAACCAAGGGCCAGCACTGCAGGCAGGCCTTTCTGAGGACAGCAGTCTCAGGCCTGCTATGCTCTTTTACTGCACAAATACCTACCTTTGGCTGCAATGGAAGCTGGGGTATGTAGTCCAGCTAAGTGACTGTGTGCCCAGCTAATACTTGGGAAGTATGATCATTAAACAAAGATGAAGAATGGAGATCATGAATAATTACATGAAAAACTACAATCATAATACCATGATCACACCTAAACATTAACAATAATTCAATAATACGCATATCCAGATAGATTCAAATTTAGTCTCTGCCACACAAGAGAAGAGGGACCAGGGTGAGGGTTCTCAACCCTTGGAATTATTGACATTTTGGGCTGGATAATTGTTGTGAGAGACTGTCCTGTCTATTTTGGTAGCACCCGTCTTTGTCTGGACCATTAAAAATGTCTGCAGACATTGCCAACTCTGTTTTGGGGGACACACACATCCCACTTGAGATCCAAGCTAGTGTGTGAAGGCTATAGAGACCAGGCCTTCTTCTGAAAAGCTACAAGTGTTTTGTTACAGTTTGAGAATAAGTGAAAGATGAACAGTAGTAAGAAATAGGCTGATGGTATAGGCTGGGGCCAGATTATGAAGCAGTTTGTGTGACATAATAAGAAGTCTGGATTTTTAAAAAAATTTGAAGGTCTGAGGAGCTACTGAAAGATACTTAAGCCAAAGACCATATTTGCATTTTCAGAAAACCAGTTTGGCTTATCTATGGAGAATTAATTAAAAGGCAAATAGTCTCAAGTCAGAGAGACTAATTAGAAGGAAATTTCACTCATTCAGGAAAGAAATTTTGAGGAAAAAATTGACAGTTAAGAAAGATATTGACAGTTAAGAAGAATAAAAAGGGAAGGATTTGAGATACCTCATATAAATAGAACAAAGCACACTTGGTGATTGGTTGTAGATAGGAATGTCACCTAGAGGTTTGCTCTGGACATCTGGGTAATTAAGTTACCGTTCACTGACATAACCAAGTCAGGAGAAGAGTGATCGGATCCGTTTTTGACTTGCTGAGTTTGCAGTGACCATGGGATTTCCACAGGAGACACATGATGTGCGATTGACAAACTGACATAACCGTCACTTAGTGTACTGTGAGTAGGGGTAGATGAACATCACAATTAATTATTGCCAATATTTCAACCTTACTGAATTTTTAAAACCCACTGGATTACTTTCAAACATATATAAAGCAGCTGTTCTACCAAACTCTTTAGATGGATAGGGTGAACGATTAGGTGAATGATGCCCTCATTCACAATTTATTCAGATAAGTTTTTAAAATATTACAAATTATTAGCTACCCAAACATTTTCATTTCTTCCTGGATTAGGTGTCAGTTCCTGGACACAGTGAATGAATATTTTGGCTTCAGTAAGTGTCTTCTGCTTTGAAAATTTAAGATCTACTAGCATTCAGTGTCCTCAAGTAGAAATAATCCTTGCAAAGACTCAAGGACAAAAACTTAGGTACAGAAACTACTATTCTGGGGTTAAAATGAGTTAACCAGATGACATTTCATGCTGGTGATTATGATTTCCCCATCTTCAACAGAAGGAATACTGTGTCTGGCCCAGTAGCTAAGTTTGCATTCTCTCAGGCAAGACCTATATCATGTGATTGAAGAATTCATTGGAAATTAGCTACTTTAATTAGTAATCAAGACACAGGATATTAAACATAAGAGCACTGATTCTGAGCCGTTGCATACCTCAAAGCATAATAGCAAAGGGAAGTTCTTATATGCATTCCTTGCAGAGTTTGATAGGAGAGTAATAGGGAGATGAAATGCAGGTTCCAGTCTTCAATGACTCGAACACAGATGTTGCCGTTGACAGGGAGAGATATGCTGAGTGTTGTTTTTCCATTTGCTTAGCAAGATTTGACATGTGGTGAGCCAGAATAGAAATCTGAAGAGTTGACTGGAGATGTGTTGAGGGAACTTTGGGAGAAAGAAGTGATGAAAAGAACAGGCCTGAATATACAATGTTATGCTACAGATGGAAACTTTTGAAAAACAAATTCATAGGATTGCCGGTTTTGAGAAGTTGATTGGTTAATTCAGTTGCTCATAGAAAATAATTTTCAAAATATGTAGGACATACAGCCAGGTACCATAACTCCAAACAAACAGTGTGCATTGTCCATCTCTTTGTGCGTTTTGACACAGTGGTAAGTGCTTACAGATGGCCCTGGAAGCTTGAGTAGGGGGAAATAAAATAAGATGATGGAGTGTGGGGTGGGGTTGTGTACCAGGTTCCAAATTGCCAACTCTTCCAAGTCCTTTTGATTCATAGTCATCGTGGTTTCCAATGCTAGTGGAGGCTACAGAGTACACCACAGGTCCTTTCATAAGAGTAATGAGCAGATTCTGTTAAGATATGTGACACTGATATTTGTAGATCTCCTCTGTGATGAAAGGAAATAGTCATTCTTTAAAATGCCTGCTAAGCAATAATACAGTCATGGCACCATTCCAAGCACTAGAACTTTGTCCTTTTAATATTGTCACCATCTCAAGCACTAGCCAGTTGAATATGCTTTGCCACCTATAAGAACCAGGATTTAATTTATAGGTGTAAGGTTGTCTTTTCCATCAAACATTCTTGCTAATTCCTGAAGGTTTCTTCATTGTTTTGAACTGTCTACCATGTCTTGACCTCCAGCGTAATGGTGTTCGCCTATTTTACTACTGAAACTAAAAAAGATGAGGTCAGTTAATTTTGATGGATCTGGGGATCAGTCACCTCCCACCAATGCACTAGAGTTGTTTGGGCTGGTACTTCTCAAAGCCAGTGCTCTGGACTTCATGCATGTCAAAATCCATATCCTATTTTCAAATAGCCTATTGGATGGTATTTCAAAATGCTTAAACGTCTCTAACTACTACTGACTGATACCCATGAGGAGGGTTACTGCTTTCCATATTTATTTTCCTTCATGTATTCCTTCTGTAAATATTTATTAACCATTATGTTAGGTAGTAAGAATGCATGGGTTTTTATAGTCCTAAAAGGAAATGGATGCCATACTTAAAGTAAGGGGATTTAAAGACAGTATCAGAAAGTGACTATTTACTAATTTATCAGTTGAGTGGAGCTCAATCACAGGGAAAGGACAAGGGTTAATGCAATTTCCTGTCGCTATTAACAGCAGTGGTGGGGAGGCATTACCACCACTAAACAAGAAGGGCTGAGAGGGGTGGAACTGAGTCAGGGAGAGCTGGGTGGAGGGGGCCAGCTGAAAGCTGCAACCATCATGAAGGAAGTATCAGCCCTTGGTGCCTTGCAGGAAGGGCACTGGGAAGAAATAAGTATCTCCACCCCACTCTTCTCACGTCCACCTCCTTTAGTGCCTTCTGTCAATCAGGCTCCACAGGATAGATTCCTGGGCTCTACTCCCCAGCAATTCTGATTCAGTAGATCTAGACTGAGGTAGGAAACGAGCATTTCTAACACATTACTAGTGTTACCTCTACTCACTCTACAGCTCACACTTTGTGTAGTGCTGGTCCAATACTAAGCCCCAAGGAATGGATGTCTTATAGCAGAGTATCAGCTCTATTACAATAATTTAAACATATATTTTCAACTTGCTTAGTCCACTGTTGCCAAGCCTGATATCGAGGCAGTCTGATCTTGACTAGAAATCATCAAAGAAGAGGGTTTTGAATTTGCAAGTAAGAATGTAAGACGGTCATGGGCTTAACTTTCCTCCTACTAAGTAAATCTTTCTCTCTGAAGAGTCTACTGCTCCATTCAGAGCAAGTTGTGAGACATTTCGTTTTCAGTGTATACAAAGGCTACCTGTGGAAAGATGCCATTTTTACAGTTAAAAATATATGATACTAAAAATGTTTTAATTAAAAGAGAATTGAACTCAGATGATTTCATTTTTTAACATTTTTTGGTAATAATTTTTTGTGAGGGAACTTTCTAAACTAAAAAAGACAAAAATCAAACAAAGGAATAGGTCTACTAAGCACACATGAAAGGACAGGACGTCCTCTCCCACATAAACTCCGATAACAGCCAAACTCCTTTTTATTTGCTACCCCGTCCTCAGCGGTGCTCCGTGAGAGTGATGAGCAGTCGCCCGACACAGATGAGGTAGGTGACCTGCGATCATTTCATCAGGGGAGAGGAGCTGGCCTTTGGCCGGTGAGTGAGCGAGAATCAGTGTTGGAGCCGAAAAGGCCTGCCCAGCTCCGGCACCTCGCGCGTGCATGAACTGGTGTCTCGCTTCAAAGAGCCTTACTTCCCATTAGCTGCTCCTGATTCTTCCCTTTATCGGTCAAGCTTTTTGTTAGAGGCGGTCGAACTGGCTGTCCCACTTCCTAACCTCCCGTTTATTCTCTGCCCATTGACTTCTGACTTCCACGTCTTCCGAAACTGCACCGGCAAACGGGGACTTCGCTTCCCTGGCGTCTCAGCAGAGCCGCGCCCTGGGCGTCCCCCTCCCGTCCCCACTTCCTTCGCGGCGCTTCTCATCTCCCCGATGATGGCTTCTTGCGACCCTGGTAAGTCTGTCGCGTCACGTTGCTCAGCCTCTACTCAGAGACGTTCTCAAAGATGTCCAGAGCAACAGCTATAAGCAAGTTAGCCTCATATTCCTCAAAGAATATTAAAGGGAGTCTAATTCATCCACACTTACCAACGACTCCTGTAACGCTCACAAGCTTTCTTAAAGCCCCGCAGCTGGGCCAGAGCCTCTCACACCACCATCTCCAAGTTCTCTCCTAGGCTCCAGCTGTGAGCCCCCTTTTCTTCCTTCTCCCCACTCTTCTTCCATCCATCTCCTTAGTGTGTAGATAGACCTGCTTGAGGGGCCACATACAGGTTTCTTTCAAAGCATGGGGGAGGAGTGGAGGGAGACCGACATGGCAGGGTGATGACTCACACGTAAAATGCTTTTTTTTCCACTAGAGGCTCATTCTCTGTAATTGGCCCCTCTGGCTTTGCCTTCCCCTGTAATGTTGGCATCTCCCCCAGGTTTCCATGTGTCTTGCCGATGGGTTTCAGCCCCGGGCAAGTTCGCTATGGATTCAGTGTGACCAAACAAATTGACAGCAAAACGTTCTTGGGGTGAAAGGGTTATACCCAACTTTATTTCCAGGTGGCAGGTCAGTCACTAAAATCCCGTTCACTCAGAGTGAGTCTGCATGCAGCAAGCCGCTCTCTGCCTCTGGGACCCTCTGTCCGCACAGCCGTCCCACACACCCATCCTCTGGGCCTCTGTCCTCGGCACTGCCACCACTTCAGTCTCTGCTCTGCTCTCCTGCAGCCTTGCAGCCTTGCCACAGTGTTGCGCCCAGAGCACTGGGCAGAGCTCTTTATATAGAGTCAACAGCCATGTATTGCCCACAGGTGTGCAGTGAGCTAGTCAGTCAGGGCCAGGTGAGAATCCTGGCCACAGGAACTCTCATTTTATCCACACCATGATTGCACTGCCTGCTGGTTTTTATCAGCTACTCCTGTGGTTTAAACTCTCTCTCTGAATGGAAATCATGAACAAGCTTTTCTCTTGCCCAACATGTATTAAACATCTCCACGCTGACCACCTCAGTACTCAGTGGTCTCCAGATGGTGCTCACACGTCCACACATGCTTTTCCTCCAGTGTTCCTATTGCAGCTGCTCCCCGTTGCTCAGGCCAGTGAGCAATGGGCATTATCCTTGATCCACCCCCCTCTCCCATTCGCCAATTCAAGTCAATCACCAAGTCTGTGGTTACCATATAACCATCATCCACAAATCCATTGCTCCCTCTGAACCCCTATACCTTTGCCCTAAGTTGAACCCCTAATATATCCCCCTGAACTGTTTCAACAGCCCCCTAAGTGTCCCCCTGCCCTCAGACTAGCTTTCCTCAAATCAAACTTCACCACTGACAAAGTGATCTACCTAACATGCAAATCTTATTCTGTTATTCCACACCCCGCTTCTTAAGATGCATCAGTGTCTCCCACATTACCTGTAAGATTTTGATCCTTTAAGATCTGAGCCCTACCTTCCTCCCAACCCCTTTATGCTGCAGCTCTTCTGAAAGGTTTGCAAATCCTTCAGAACCCAAACTCTGTGACTTGGTTTGTACTTTATCCTCTTTCTCTAAACTGCCTTTGGCGCTTCACTGGCTAGTGCTGACTCATTACTTAACCCTACAGACTGAACTAAATGACCTACCTTTGTGTTCATATCCCCACATCATGGAATGTATCACACTGTATTCTTATGTCTATTTATTGCCTGTGCCCAAGGATGAATTTCTTATAAGTGTTTTGAGGACCATCAGAATTGAAATCTAAGTTTTTAGTTGGGGAGAAAAAAAATCACTGGACCATAAATCATGAGAACTTGGGGTCAAGTATAAATTAGCTACTTATCTGCTGTGAAATCTTGGACAAATCACTCCCCTTCTCTGGTCCGTCCTTAATAGGAGAGGCTCAGACCATGTAACCGTCATCCATCAAACCATCATCCATCATGCTATGGTTTCACCCTATCCTTTCCCACATGTTTAGAGAGGGTGTTCACTGATGTCCACAAACTTCTCTTTCTCGCCTCCGCTCATTCCTTTGCTTTCCTTCTCCAGAGCTTTCTCTAAACTAGTTGTTTCCAACCCTGGTTTCTCTTTGGCACTTTACAGGATACACGTGGCTGATTTTATTAGTCTGATGCAGTTACTCCAGTATCAGTACTCTTCAAAAGCACTCCAGATAATTCGAATGTGTAGTCAAGATTAGCAACTATTAACATCAAATAGCTGCTTCCAAAGTTTGGTCTCTAGGTCAAAGTTTGATCTCTAGATTGGTAGCATCAGCATCATTGGGGAAATTGTTAGAAATGCAAATTTGCAGGCTCCTGCTGAATTAGAACCTCTAGTGCCTAGAGATGATTCTGACCCCCACTAAATGAGTGCCTCTCCTTGAATTCTTCCGTGCAAGCCTACCAAAGAGGAACTAGAGGTCACTACTGTGGTTTCAGAGCACGATACCCCTGGTGTTCATCTTTACAGATGTTCCCCCAGACAATAAACATCAGCTTCAAAGAAGTATGTATGCCATTCCTACATCTTCCAAGGAGGAAGCCTTGTTGGCTGGGTCCGAGTTAACACTTTAAAAAAATATTAGGTTAGGGCACAGAATGTAATATGGACTTTCCCTTGGATAGCAGTGGGTGTTCCTCCTGCTGGGATGTAGGGCGGGGTGAAATCAGACATAGATATTGGCCCTGTGGGTAGGGCCCTTGGAGGTAGGCTGCCCTGAAATTGGCAATGGGGTTGCCTCTTTCTTTCTCTCATATAAATCTCTGATTTCCAACCCTTTCTCAAAAGCCTAAGAGAAATATATAGTCTAAGTTGAGGTTACCAGTTAGCCAACATACATGGAGTTGAATATTTCTCTGAATTAATGACCTAGGAACGAGAACACTGGCTTTGGAGCCAAACAACTTGACCGCCTCGACTTGCATCATATTGATATTTCATCTTCATAAGAACTAGTAGCATGACTGATTTCCTTACTCTCAACCCATTGTGCCCACACGAAAGGCTAGAGACCACTGTGTGGGCTAGAGACCAATTCCATTCTTAATTTTTTCTTTTTATTTGTCCAAGAAATATCTCTTCTCTAAATTACAGAGCTCTGGAAAGGTATTTATTCAATAATTAATTGGCTCTTGAGCAAAATTTTTCTCTCTTAAAAGCAGGTTTGTTTTATACATACCACATTTTTAATTATACAGTTATTTATTTGTTTAATTACATGTCTATCTCCCTCATTCACCTTGAGCTTCATTCAGATAAGACCATGTCAGTCTGTTAAGCACAGTACATCCAGCACCTCATAGGTACTCATTAAGTATTGAATAAATGAAACATTAAATGGCTGCTTCTTTCTGAGCCATTTCTGAGAAGTGTAATATAGGGGAAAAAAAGAGTACACTTCAGGCAGACATGGTAGGCTCATGACCTATTTGGGTGCAAGTATAAGGACAAATACAAATCAAAACTAAGGGACTTAATTCTCCCTGTTGAAATGGGAAAGAGATTTCTGATTTTTTTTCTAATAGCATTTACTTCAGAAAACTTGTTATTCTAAGTTCTGCCTCCTCTCTTTGAATGTATACATATCCTTTTGAAAACCAAATAGGCCTTTTGTCAACTTTATGACCAGGAATGTCTTTCTCAAGGACCTGGGAGCCATCTCTTTGAAAGGTAAACATCAAGAGAGATAGAACCCTTACTTCCCAGCATCTGGGGGGGGGACAGTGGCCTAACTTTGGTGGGCACTTTGTTCCTAGTTGCAAAACTGCCTCCTGTCATAGAGGTATGAGAAATTAGCCTTTCTTCTGAATAAAGTCAGTAGGCTGACCAGACAATCACCCCAATTACCAGGTGCATTTAGGATGGACTATGTGTGACACATGTCACTGTCAAGTTCTCTTATTTGAGGACTAGTTATTGTTGGGTTATGTCTGTTGGACTGTATAAAAGGTGAGATTTCTTTCTGTCTTTGCAGCCTTTTAGTAGATTGCCTGTGATGTGCATCATATTCTGGTTTAATGCTTATTCAATAACAAAACTGTTTCCTGTCTCTACTACCTTTGTGGGGAGGTTTTGTGGACTAGGATATTTTGTTTCCAGTTCCATTTCCCCAACACAGACAAGGGGTATGCAGTGAAGAATTCATGGGAGAACAGAGGTTATCTGTGTGAAGAAGGGGAAGGGTGTGCCAGGAAAAGGGCCAGAGACATCAGAAAGGACTAGTTGCAAGAGAGGCAAGGAAGGGCCAGGTACTGAAGAGCCTCTTAAGTTTTGTTAAGGGATTTAGACCTTATCCTGAGGGAAACTGAATAAGCAAGGTGGTGCCATCACAGGATTTCCCTTTAGGGCCGTCACTCTTGCTGTGATGTGCAGAAAGAACTGGGCAGAAGTATTAGTGGATTACATCGGTGAGAGATTCCATTATTAACATGGGCAATAGTAACAGTCACAAGGGTAATACTAATCACCGTAACCACAACTAACACTTTCTTGAGCTAACGATGATCCAGGCAGCCTTCTAAGCCTTTCTCATGTATTGTCCTTAATTTTTACAACAATTCTATGGTTTGTATTATGGTCCCTGTTTACAGGTGAGAAAACTGAAGCAAAAACAGATTAAATGACTTGTCCAAGGGTAGTATGAGGTCAAGCTGGAATTCACAGCCTGGCTCTAGGGACAATTCTCTTAACCGCTGCTCTACACTGCCTCCTAACATCATAGCTGAGGTGAGGGTAGAGGCAGAATGGATATGGTGAGGTGAATTGGTTCAATAAATATTTAGAAGGTAGGCTAGATAGGACCTGAGGATTGAGTGAAAGTAGGGAATGGACCAGAAGGTGTTTTTTGTTAGTACAGTTGGGCCATTCACTGAGGCAGGAGTATTAGAACACAGCAGTTTTGGAAGGTATGTTATAAAATTTGAAGGACACTGCATTGAGGAGCCAAAGTGGAGATGTCCAATGAAGCAGCTGTTCC